CACCATCAATCATCCAACCTCTATGGGTGGCTGTGGAATGAGATGGCTTTCTCGACATGAAAAGTTAGAAGATCATACATAAAAGGATAATAAGAAAGGAGGTAAGAGCACGGTTTTTTTTATTCCGATTTTTTTTCCGGGAGGGGCCGGAAAATCCGGTTCTCGAAAATTTCCGGAAATTTCGGATTTTTTTCAATCCAAAAACATTTAACGTCAAAATATATAATTTTTAACCAATTGAGAACATGAAGTACTTTCTGGTGAATTGGTCCGCTCGCTTACTTACCTACCGAAGGTCGTGCGTTCGATCACTTCCTAACGCACCGCGACCGATTTTTTTAGGAAGCTTGAATAAGGCAAAAAAAGTTCAAATTGCAAACAAGGGTAATCGAACCTGAGACGTAAGAATGATAGGTAGCGCTGCCTACCATTTCGACAAGTGCTTGCTTATGACTATCTTGGTATATGTAGCCATTTGACATTACTTAGTCTTTTAAATTAAAAAAATTAAAACTTTTTGGACGGTATCGGTTTTTTTCGGAGGTCGCCTAAGTTTCTGGTTTACAGCCAGTTTCCGTTTTTGCAGAACGGAATAAAAACACTGGTAAGAGACAAAAATGGGCAACTGTTGATCTAGGAATACTTTGGATTTATATTCTATTTCAAATGGAGCATGTCTCGATTTCGACAAAAGCTGAATATCATATATGTTCAGATATGGGTAGAATTAAAAAGGTACCCAACATAACTGAAAAACAATGGCGCTCCGTAGGCTTTATATTTAGTTGGTATGAGATAATTTCGTTTCCAGTATCTAGTAATAGAGTCCTTGTCAGTTTGAAAACAAAATGATACCTAGTATATTAATTTCATATTCTTAAGAATCTTCTAATTTGCACCATAGTAGGCACCAACATGGCCGACAATAAGTCTCATAACCTGGAATGATCAAATATGACCCAAAACTAACGTACAAAGCATAAAAACAAGAACTTCAAAGAAATTTACTCATATTGTCTTGTCTAATCATCAGTCATTGTGCAAATAAATATGATGCCTAAATATTTGCCCATTGTCTTGAAATACTTAAGTAGTTTCCTTTTTGCTACTAGTGTCTTGAATCAGCAGAATTATTTAACAAGACGTGTGTCCCTTGAGTTGAGCATTATAGGGTTAAAATCTTGATGAAAACTCAATTAACTCATGTGCACGGACAAAGACAAGGACCATATGGACTCAATACTGAAATAAATTCAGTGAGGTGATTGTTGGAGCAGTAGTTGATCCTCCGGCTTTCATACATTGATCAAATTGGTACGATATTTATTCCCAATTTTTTCATTAAATTTATCTATTTGTTCAAATATAATCAACTTACTGACATTATACTAAATATGTTAATACAACCAACTTACTTAATTTGTAGTATTATATATGTAATTGTTTCCTTTATCGACATTTCATCGAGATCATTTCCCCACATATTGTCCGACAAAGGTTTAAATTGTGATATGTTCAATAAGCCATGATGAGTTTCGGTAGAACTGGGTGTCAGACCAGTTGGCTAGTGGTGTGCGGCCGGCTCCCACATTTGAGCCTTGTGCTCCGCAGGGCATGTGTCTGGTTGTTTCTTCTTAATAAAATGTTGTATGGGCTAGTCCCTGTTGGTCCTTTTTTTTATGGTTAGTTTCCATAAATTTGAAGAGCATGTGTGTTAGTTTAATACATGACATTTCCAAAAAGAGTACAATGATACTCAAAATAATGAAATACGATAGGTGCCACTTAGGAGCTAGTTTTTTTTAATATATAGAATTGTTTCTTTTTGTTTTAGAGACTTTTTGGATTCTGCCCGCGTCAGCTGTACCAAAATGGGGTGCGCTAATATTTTGGCAAGGGAATCAGAGGCTTCCGTCTCGCTAGTGAGCGGGCGTGAAATCAGAACTGCCCCTTAGTTCCCACAAATCAGAACTACCATCCAAACAGCCCCTTAGTTCCCACAAATTTTGTCTCTTTGATACTTTATCCATTGAAACTCCGCCTATGTCTTCTAGGCATAGCCGGTCCCAAGCCCGGGTAAAGGAGGAGGGTTGTGATAGGCTTGGCGAGCCAACGTAAAAACTAGCCAGTCCCATAGGTATGAAACCCATTTGAGCGAGAATAGTACTAGGATGGGTGACCTCCTAGGAAGTCCTCGTGAAAGGGTTTCATATCTAAGGGTTGTGATAGGCTTGGCGAGCCAACGTAAAAACTAGCCAGTCTTTTGGGTATGAAACCCATTTGGGCGAGAGTAGTACTAGGATGGGTGACCTCCTGGGAAGTCCTCGTGAAAGGGTTTCATATCTAGCCTACCCCAACTTGTTTGGGATAAAAGGTTTCGGTCCAGATACTTTATCCATTGAGATATCAAAGTTGGCCTACCAATTTAGTTGTTGGATCATATAGTATGCTTTTTATTTGGAGCAAGGGCAATCAGATGGCATTAAGAATGTGATATAGTTAAGTGTCATGTCCAAGCTAAGACATGGTATTGGCGTATTGCCATCAGGCAGTTGGCCACAATGTGCCAATGTGGCGACCCTCAACGTCATCTTGGGCGGCCTGAACTGGATCAACAGTAACCACGTCGTGCGAGCTCGAAAAACACAGCGGCTGTCTTCGCCTGCCCTCATAGGGACTCTTCTAGAAACCCCCTATCGGCGACCGACAGAGGTAACGGTAGACTTTGCAGGGCCTATAGCTTTGGCACGGTGTTGGGAACTCAAGCGTATAGGTCACTAATGGATGAGAAGGTCAGAGCACTGCAATCCACGGGACGCTGTGTCGTTAGTGATGCCAAGCAGTTTGGCAGGGCTCTAAGACCCTGCTCTGTTTGCAACCGGAAGATCACGTAAGGGATTTGCCAACCTCTAGATGAAAGCCCAAGCGATTAATCTGGAATAAATACAGCCAGCGTATACGGTAGTGTTTGACCGTGCAAGACAGTTACTCTGCATCCTTTGCTTACGGAATAAGCTTAGCCTCACCGGTAACTCCCCCGGAACAAGGGTGTGCGTTTCAGCAAGATGAGGCCCAGCCCCAGAGCGGTGTGCGCCTTTTGAAGTTTTTCAGAAGACCCAGACGACGGTGTCCGTAATCATTTTCAGAGAGTGAGGATGGCCTGGCACTGGCAGCGAGTGGGTCAATGGAACCGAACAAACACTGGGGTAGGGCGGCGCAGGAGCAGGGGCAGAGGACTGAGCTCGTAGCTGGGCACGCTGCTGACAAATTTTCATGGGTTTATTGGCCAAGCATAATGCCCGTACATATTTTGCAAGCCCTCCCTGTTCGGGTTTCCTATTCTGGTGCGAATATTATAAGCGGAAAAGAAAAAGGGGGCAAGGGATACTCACGAACCTGACGTGGAAGAGGTTGGGCACACGGGCGGCGCCGAGGTAGACCTCGACGGCCCCGAGGAAGGCCTGGTACGTGCGGATGTGCAGCGCGTCCACGCGCGGGTACGGCAGCCGCGGCCGCGGGCCCAGCCACCCCACCACCGCATTACCGCCGCCGCCGCCGCCGCCGCAGCCCAGGAAGGCGTACTCCCGCCAGCGCACCTGCTGCTGATCCTGGGGCGGCTCCGGCGGGGGCGGCAGAGGCAGCGCGACGAAGCCGGCCGCGGCGAGGATGGGCTCCAGGTCGTCGTGGGTCGTTATGGGGCGGAACGTGGCCGTGTGCCACAGGGACAGCTTCTTGGCCGCCTCCTGCACCGTCAGCCTTATGTCCCTGCTCCTGCCGCCCCCGCCCCCGCCGGCAGCCCCCGCGCCTGCACCACCGGCCGACGACGCCATGGACGGACCGACGGAGGAGGAGGAGGGGTTTATCGAGGGGACAAGGGGGGGACGGCTCTTGGCGTTGTTTATGCGGGAGAGACAGACAGAGAGAGATTGTTGGTGCGTTGTTTGAATCAAAAGACGGGGAGATTTCCGGAGAGGAAAGAAAGAAAGAAAGAAAATAAAGGGAAGGAAGGAAGGAGGGAGGGAGCAGGAGGAGGTGGACGAGACGAGAGGGGTCTGAGGCCGCCCGCGTTGGGATTCTCTCTCGCCCGCTCGGCGTCGCCAATATATTTCTCGGGCCGTGATAAACGCTCCACGCACCTGCGCTCGTTCGGTGCGATGCGGGCCGTTTCGAAACCCCTGCCGATGACGCGTGGGCCCCGCGAGGGCTTTTGCTTGCGTGCCGGGGCCACATCCGCGCGTGTTTTGTGAAGGCTCGTGAACTGCTTCCTCTTCGGTAGAAGAGGAATGTGGAGACGTGGAGTAGTCAAAATGGAAACGGAAAAATGTTAATGCTGCCCAGAAATAGAAGTACAGCCCGAGTCCAGTGGATGGTGCTCCACATGCTCGTCCGTCTGCCTGTCATGTATCTGTTTTTTTTTTTTTTTTGTTCTTTTTAGATACTAACTGCTGCCAGGGAGTAGACGAGAAATGGCAAAATTTTCGGCTGGGTAGAAACGGATGTCCAGTAAGGATGCACTGTCTTCATGAGTGCTTGCCTATACGGGACGCCATACACCCTGTGTGATTATCTGGAGCTAGCAACACGCATAAATGGATATGTTTTCATTCTCGGTTCATGTCGGTGACGTTCTCGCCGACCGCTCGGTTGTCGTTTTTATCTTTTGGCTTGCTTGTATGTGAAGTTTTTCCACAGCTTTGTATCGAATCGGCCATTTGGACTTTATATATAAAGCAGGAAATGCATATTTCGAGACACACAAGTGTGTTGGTGCTTATACAAAAGAAAGTCATTAAGCGGCGCCAACATCTCACACTCAAAAATGACAAAGGGTCCATTTAAGCCACGCGCCATCAAAGAGTGCTCCCTCAATAACCATTCTCGGAGAACGTTTTAAGAATTGTCATGATATAACAAATAGATTTACCGTGCTGTAGCAGTGAGATTTGCATGCTAAGAAGAAATAATTGCCATATGTTGTACTAGAAAGAATTGTCATACGGTTCAGAAATTTGTCATGCTGCAACAAATAAAATTGCCATGTGTTTGAGAGATTTGATATGTTGTAGAAGAGATAATTGTCGGGCTAAGGGAAGGAGAAATTGCCCACATGTTCAAGAATTGCCACGCTACAACATGGCAAATTGACATGCTACATAGAGAAGTTGTCATACATGCTTCCATGGAACGGCATGCTTCGTGATAGAGGAGTGTCATATACTACACAAGGGGTCGTTCGCTCGGGAGGGTGTATGGGAGTGTGTGTTTGTGTCATTCGCTCCAGAGGATGCATGGAACAGGGATTGCCATGCCGTCATCGCTTTGAGATTTACGCATGGGATTGGACGCACAAGAAACACATGTAACTCTATTCATACTTGTAACCATTACATGTACATTGTTTGGATCCAAGTTCCAAATAATTACAAAGCAACTCCTGCATCTAAGATTTACAATAAAATATTTTGGGACATCTTCTCTATGGTATTAAACTTTGCAAGATAAAATACCACCAAGACTTCAGTAAAGAAACTGTAATCGTGCTGAAGCGGCAACACTGCAACTTGTGCACCTGCAGGAACTTGATTACCAACATAGGTTTCTGAAAGCCCCTTGGGTTGTCCATCCAAAAAGATTAGAAGCCTTGACCGATGAACATACTTGGGACGGGGATTATTGTTGGATCACACGATATGCTACGCTAGCTCCAAATAAAAAAAATTCTACCGCGCAACCAAGATCATGTTGCTGGAAATAGATCATCGAATCAGGTTTACCACTAGAGGTGCGGTCATCGCAGCCGAAGTAGAGTTGGTGATGCGTGTAGTCACTCAGCCAATCTCCCACGAACAGTGATGTTCCGCGAATGGCGATCTCCCCCGAAAGACGAAGTCCTGTGAACAGCTCCTCGTGGATCCCTCGGACGGCTCCTTGCGGTTCCCTCGAACGATTCATCCAAGCACCGTAGTTGCGATGCCTCTAAGGTAACGACACATACGGGGAGCAGCGTTGGGCAACAGACTACTAGGTCCAGGGGCGTGGGGAATGTTGGCGGCTGTGGAGGGACAAAAACGATCAATCCTAAAAGGTGCGCCCACTCCCCTTTATATGCACCTCCAAAGTGGGCTCAGCACTTGAGGTCCACTAGCAATCTGCTCCCATTTTCCACTCGGATCCAATCCGAATGGGCTGCAACCCCTTAAGTGTGTGACCCTATAGGTTCACGTACGCATGGACATGACCCGAGTAGATAGTTGTTAGCGGCTTCTAGCAGAACGTGCCAACTCCCATGTGTGTGTAAAGTCATTTGACGAGCCTTGACAATGTGTTATATGCAACATTCCTTTTGCCTCACGATATTTCTTGTTGAGCTCAAGGCGAGTACTTGTCACCCTTATCGTAGCTCGACCTCTCTTCTCGAAACCGTGATACATATTCTTGAACCGGGTTAATACTTAACCCAAGTCACATGGCCATGCTTTCCGAATCTGATCACTCAAGAGGGCACAGAGAATATCTCTCCTTATAGGAGGGGCAAATCCCATCTTGGTCAACCATGTATCACGTCATGTGTCACAACTCATGAAGTAGCGTTTGATAGACCCTAAGTGAGTTGGTCCTCATCCCAAGAACATGCGATGAGCTTAGGTCTAGGACATGGCATATACATTGTACTTGCAATTAACATATGACAATATCTCGCCGCGCCTCAAAGTGGGCCAGTCCATCTCGGTGATCTCCAACCCCAAACCCATACTGTCGGTATAGCATCTCCATGCACATGACTTGTGACACATATTCACCAACCAAATCATATAGTAGTCAAAGGATATATGTCCGCATAACCTTATCAACTAGGGACTATTAGAATGATCATCACACAATATATAGTTCCACAAACAAGTCACATACTTATTGATACATATAACTGATGATGTTCAATGACAATACAAAAGACTCATGAATACATAGGGAAATATCATCATCACATGATTGCCTCTAGGGCATATCTCCAACAATTATACCCTGGAAGTGTAGATCGCCGAACCATAAAATCTTCACCATACTGTCGAGGAAAGATTCCAGCTCCATAGAAAATCAAACCAATAAAATCAACATGACACAGTAACATAAACTAATCAGACCCAAATAATTGGCTATGAGAAGAAACAAAACTCTCTAGCTCCATGGCACCGCCACAAGGAACCAATGTAATTTTATTAGCAAAAAGGGATAATTGATTTTATACCTTTAGTTGTGTCCCCCTCGTCAGGATTGCCCCTAGTTTTTGAAAACACATGGTCTTGCCCAACCCACTTTGGCGTCTTGTGGTTTTGCTCTTTGACCGTTTGGCCATCACTTTGAAAACTTCCTAACCAATTCGTACTAAATCAGAAAAATATACAAAATGTTCCGAAAACATCACCTGTTTGTCAATGTCACTTGCATTCATGACAAAAGTGTTGGTAAGTGCCCATCTGAGTTTTAGCTCTTATCATACCACCATGAACTGTAAAATCTATAAAAATTCAAAAAAATGGTCGCAAAGAATGAAAAATGTTTTAAGTGCTTGCCAAGTTTCATCAGGGAATGCCATTCATGGAAGCCGTGGCAAAAAACCAAGCCACGACTTCCATGAATGCCATTCCCTGATGAAACTTGGCAAGCACTTAAAACATTTATCATTCTTTGCCACCAACTTTTTTTGAATTTTTTTAGATTTTACTTTTCATGGTGGTATATAAGAGCTAAAACTCAGATTGGCACTTACCAACACTTTTGTCATGAATGCAAGTGACATTGACATACAGGTGATGTTTTTCCAAACATTTTGGTATTTGATTTCCATTTTCTGATTTAGTATGAATTATTTATGAAGTTTTTAAAGTGACGGTCAAACAGTCAAAGGGCAAAAGCACAAGACGCCAAAGTGGGTTGGGCAATACCATGTGTTTTCAAAAACTAGGGGCAATCCTGACGAGGTGGGCACAACTAAGGGTATAAAACCAATTATCCCTAGCAAAAAATCACAAAGACTACTATATACTAATGAAGATTGTACATTTCTTGCAGATGCAAGGTCCCTCCACCTCTTAGTGCCGAGACGGCATCTGGAGGCGAGGGGAACAGAAATTCCTTCTCACGCAACTGCTAGTGTTTATGTGTTATGACAAATGCCTATACATCATAGCCCGTTGTTCCTATGCTAGCAGATCACCGATTCTTGCTCATTATGTAGTTCTTTCTAATAGGTGTGTGCAGGAAGGTATCACAATATCAAGCAAAAACAAAAGAAAAGTTTATGTTGCTAGAAACTGAAAGTCTTGTCTACTAGACGGTGCTACACATGGTCGTCCTAGAGCCTTCCACGTGTGTTTTTGTGTCATGTTTATTTGACATCTTCAGTTCAATTATATGACAACATTTCTTTTGCTGGATAGAAATGGAAGTACATTAAAGGATTAATTTCATAAGTGCTCATCTTGACGGGGCACTACAAATAGTGTTTGATTATATGGAGCAACCTACGTGTGACTTGTATTCATAGAAGAAATCGTGTTCTCCACACTATCATTCAGGTGCATGGAAACAAAAATCAGTGATGTTCCTGGCATCTTTACTGTCTAACGACAAATACTTTGCACGTTAGAAATTGTTGTTTCCACGCCACGTAAAAGATGTGATGTAGTAAGTTGCAAAGCACCAAAAAACTCAGTATGCATGTTTTCATGTGATGAAACTGTGATCATTAAGCTACCCCAAATCCATAGTTATATGTAAACCTAACAAAGTTTTGGTTCCAGGAAATGAAATCTTGCTTGAGTAAATAGTG